AGGATTTTTTTCCGGGAGGGAAACCCTTCCACCAGAGTCCTCTCTATTTCCACCACTAGATGGCAGGCTTGAGCACAGGTAATATTGGCCTCATGTGAAGGTCTAGGGTGGTGAATAGGCTCAATTACAAAGTCACAAACTAGAGGAGGAAGAGTGGGTGCTGTAGCCTTAGAGCGAAGTGTGCAGGGCCTGCAGGTAGGCTGCAAGCCCAGGCAAGATTTGGCTGCTACTGTCTTGAGGGAGAATTCCTTCTCTGGGAAATAGCAGCTTTTGTTCTTCTACTGATTGGAGGAGGCCCACCACTTTAGCAAGGCAATCTCCTTTTTAAACACAAACAAGCAAACAAAAAACAACATTTTGGGATCTTGATGAAGTCAGAACTAAGTTGCAATTTATCCAAAGTCAAAGTCATTAATATCATCTCAGAAAGTGAAAGTTGCTCACTTGGCTCTGGTGAATTTTCCCAAAGATAATGTCGTGTTTTCTTTTGTGTAAAGTTTGGGTCTACTTTTTGGATTCTCTTTTGAATCAGTTAGAAAATGCACATGGTTACCCCACTGATTGAATGGAATAAAATCTTTAATGTGTTTATTTTATATCAACATAAAAGTTACAATTTACTTGTTTACTTATATAGTTTTGTTAATCCTCACTCAAGGATATTTTTTCCATTGCTTTTTTTTTAGAGAGTGGAAAGGAGGAGGAGGAGAGAGAGAGAAACATCGATATGAGAGAGACACATCGATTGGTTGCCTCCCGAACACGCTATGACCAGGCCAGGGATCAAGGTGAAACTGAGTTCGTGCCCGTGACCAGAATCGAATTCACAACCTTTAGCTCGTTGGCTCTAGCCACTGAGCCAAACTGGCTAGGGCTGATTTATTCTTTGGTAATTATTTCAAACAGGTAGCCATAAGTGAGAGTGCTGATTGAAAAAGAGATGGTCTGAATGAATCATTTATTTGCTGTCTTTCTCTCTCCGGTGGAATGTGAGGCCCATGTAGCAGGCATTTCTGTCTGTCTGTGCGCTGATGAACTTCCAGTGCTGAACAAGAGCTTGGCTCCTCGCAAGGGCTTCATAACAATTTAGAAACATGAGTTAGTTGACTTTATAGAGTGAGCAATCTTGGAAAGCACAGGGTGGGAGCGAACGTGTTGAAGAAACAGGGGCAGATTGTTGGTGGCCTTGGTGCTAAGCATTTGGACTTACTCGGGGGCCACCAGGAGTCCCTGCAGGAGCAAGCTGACGTCGTGCTGGCACTTAGATGCTTGTCTTGGTCTGGTTTCTGAAGCCAGACTAGGAAGACCCTGCCCAATGGCATAGCGACTTCTGCTCTGGGTATGTTTCCCCCACAGATGGGAGAGACCTGGGTAACATCGATCCTCATAACCTGGAACACGGTAACCACAGTGGTTTATAGAATGGCTTCTGAGGAATTGGGCTCAACTTCTGCCTGCTGGTGTTTTGAGAACTGGATGAAGACTCTGACAGGGACCAGATACTGACATAGCTGATCTCAGGATGTCTGTGCACATCAGGAGTTCTTTTTATAAGGCTTTTGGGAAGATTATTATTATTTACTTCAGAATAAAAGATGATATTATTGACTTTGAACTGCAAACCCTAGACACACATAAATATGAAAAAAACTTAGTGCAAGACCAAAAGGAGAAACTCAGAAACATGGTGGGAAATCATGCCTATTTTTCAATTTTCTGTGTCTTTATTGCATACATTTCTATTTAATTATGTAAACACAAATTTAAATACCTTTTTATTACCCATGGTGGGAAGTCAGACATTTTCTTTCACAGCCAGAGAATATGATCTCAGTCCAAAACCGGGCTGAGATGCCAAGGAGCCATGAATCTGCCGAAATCATTGTGGGAGGTTTGTTTTCGCATGCTGATACGTCTTCAGACAACCGCAGGTAAGGGGGATGAATGTGGATTGTTCACCACAAGGAGCTCTTGTCAGATTGCGTGTAGAGAGCGTAGAGGTTTCCCACAGGCGCTGGGCGTCTGCGGTGCTGGGGCGGTCCCCCTCCCTCTGTTCCCCAGTCAATGGCTCCCTTGTCGTCAGGGCTACAGTGACGCACTCTGAGGCCACAGAGAAATACAATCCCAGCCCTGAAGTCGGTGGAAAGAATATAGATTTGTGAACTCCAGTCAGTCTCTCGGATGTTTTGTGACGCTTCAGTAGCTTATAAGTTTCTGCGATTATGAACCCAAAGCCAAGTCACCCTCCTGTTTAACGGCCAGTTCTCCCTTGAATGGAAGCCCAGATCTGGAAACACCCCCAGGGTCTCCGCAGCTCCAGGGCCGATGCCAGGAAAGCTATGGCTTCAAGAACATGAGCAGGGACAGTGCGTTTCTACCCTGCTAGCCCTCACCGTGACATTGTTTCTGAGATGGGCTCCGAGGAAGACGAGACAAGACGAGGAGCAGGAGCGGCTGGGGGACCTTTAGTACATCGTTTCTATAGGCTGACAGTGAGCCGTGAGGAACATTCCCGCAGGGATATCCAGTTTAAACCAGCCGGTGCTCCTTTTAAGTGGGTGGGAGATACCACCCTACATCTTTCTTAGTGATATTACTTGTCTCCACATACTGACTGGGGACTTCCTTTATTGAAAAAAACGGTGTTACTTCCGCCAGAGATTGTTACATGAGTGTCCAGAGTCCTCCACTCATTGTTCTAATGGAGTACACACCAAACACACACACACACACACCAGACACATATGCACACCACACACCACAACACCAGACACATATGCACACCACACACCACACACACCAGACACATATGCACACCACACACCACACACACCAGACACATATGCACACCACACACCACACACCACACACACCAGACACATATGCACACCACACACCACACACACCAGACACATATGCACACCACACACCACACACACCAGACACATACACATACCACACACCACACACACAACACACCGCACACATCACACCAAACACACACACACCACACCAAACACACACTACACACACCATATGCACACACACTACACACATCAGACACATACGCACACCACACACCACACACATCACACCACACCACACACATCACACCAAACACACCCCCACACACACCACACCAAACACACGCCACACACACCAGACACATATGCACACCACACACCACACACACCAGACACATACACACACCACACACCACACACACCAGACACATACACACACCACACACCACACATACAACACACCACACACATCACACCAAACACACACACACACACCCCACACCAAACACACCCCACACACACCAGACACATATGCACACCACACTACACACACACCATATACACACACACCACACACCACACACCACACACACCAGACATATGCACACCACACACCACACACACCATACACATACACACACCACACACCACACATACAACACACCACACACATCACACCACACACACACACCACACCAAACACACACCACACACACCAGACACATACGCACACCACACACCACACATACAACACACCACACCACACACATCACACCAAACACACACACACCACACCAAACACACACCACACACCACACACACCACACACATCACACCAAACACACACCACACACACCATACATACACACACCACACACCACACACACCATTCACATACACACACCACACACCACACATACAACACACCACACCACACACATCACGCACACCATACACATACATACACCACACATATACACCACAGACACACAGACACACACACCACACACACTACACATGCATACACACAACATACACACCATACACATACACAACCACACACCATACACATACACACACTATACACACACACACACCACACAGACACACCACACAGACACATATACACACACACATACCATACAGACATGCGCTCACACATACCATACACACACACACCACACACACCGCACACACCGCACACACGTACACATATGTACCACACACTCATACCACAGATACCCTACACACACACACCCTACACACACCATATACACACACAACACATATACACCACACATACACACACACACACACACTACACATATATACACACACACCACGTGCACACCACACACACCACACACATACACACATCACACACATACACACCACACAGCCACACATACACACATAAATGCCATACAGACATGCACACACACATATCATACACACACACCACACACACACATGCACACCACACACACCACACACATATACCACAGACACTGTACACACATGCATACACACCACACACACCACACACATACACACCACAGACACACATTCATACCAAATAGACATGCACACACACACCATATACACACACCACACATATACACACATCACACACACCACACACACATGCACACCACACACACACATATACACACATACCACACAAACACCCTACACACACACACATACCCCCACATATCACATACACATCACACACACACACCAGCACATAAATATACCACATCACATATACCCTACACACACACCACCACACAACATATACACACATCCCACACACACCACACACTCACATGCACACCACACATCCACTACACACACATACACATATGTACCACACGCACATACCACACACACCCTACACATACACACCCCACACACCACATACCCACATCACACACACACACCACCACACATACCACACCACACCACACCACACACACGCTACACACACCACCCCACAACATATACACACACAGCACACACACCACACACCCACATGCACACCACACATCCACTACACACACATACACATATGTACCACACAAAGACCACACCCCCTCACACATACCATATACACACATTATACACACTACCACACACATACACCACACCACACACACCCTACACACACACACACACACACATACACACCCCACACACAACATATACACACATCACACACACACACACCACCACACACACGCCCCTGCAACCCCCGCCCACACACACCCTACACACAAAGAGGCTGTAGAAAGCGGGGTGAGCGCAGGCCCAGTAGTCGTGTGGGGGTGTGGGATGGAAGACGCTGGGATGGGTCTGAGAGGAGCTGAGGCAGGTGTGCTGGTTACGGCGGGTGCGCAGTCCCCCTGGGGAAGGCCCGGCCGGAGCACTCCTGCTTCTGGGCCCCGGGCCTGAGTGACTCCAGAGCCCGCGGCTTCTATCATGAGCACTCGCTGTGGATGAGATTATTCTCTCCCCGCCGGTGGGCGCGTGGCCTGCTCAGCACCCAGTGTTTCATGATGCAGAAGAAATACAGATCCTTCAGCGAAAAGCCGGGTGTTGGAAGGGGCTGGAGGAGGAAGGGGAGGTTGGATGGAGGTTGGCAAACGCCGAGTGTTCTCACAGGGCCTGGCTGCGGTGCGCTCTCCCTGCGTCTCCGTGTGCTGTGATGTCCCCATGGCTCACTGGAAGACGAAGATCAGGGATTATTTGAGTGACAGCACAGAAGCAAGCGATTTCCCCAAAGTCTCGAGAAAAGCAGGAGTGGAAGCCCTATGATTTCAACTAGTTTCCCAAACTCCTTCTTTAGGAACCCCTTTAATAGGACCTGGGCACCTTCGTTGGTAATTATGCCCAGAAACCTTCAGTTCTAGGACTTTTGACAAATGCAGGCCCTGTGACCACCACCGGCATACAGACCAGCCTGCACAGCAATGCACATGAGCCCAGCATTGACCGTGAGCAAGAGGTCACAGTCAGGACTGGGTTCCCAGTCAGGGCACATGCCTGGGCTGCAGGCCCCATCCCTGGGGGGGCCTGCAGGAGGCAGCCGATCAATGAATCTCTCTCCTCATTGATGCTTCTGCCTCTTTCCTGCTCCTTTCGTCTTTCTCTGAAATCAGTAAAACCCCTTAATATACATATGAGAGGCGGCTGAGCCGGCATTCCTGGCGCCTGAGCTCTGTGGGCCTGAAGCGTCAGGCAGGCTGAGGAATGGCGTGTGAAAGTGAAGGGACGTCGGAGCGCACGGGGTGTGTGGCTGAGGCTGCTGAGGCAGGAAGGCAGCGCATCCGTGAGGGGAGACCCTCTCCTGTGCCCTCTGCCTGAGCTGGCCCTGGACGCAGCCCTCGATGAATGAGTGACTGAACCTTCCAGACGGGCCTCGAGGGCCCATTTGTGGGTGGAGGTCACTGACGTGGCTTTTGTGGTGGGTTTCCGGAGCCTGCAGGCCTTTGGCATCGTGGTGTCCATGACACGGGGGTCTCAGGGTGGATGGGACCCTCACCAGGCAGGGGCCTTGGGGTTCACTCCCTTGAAAACCTGGAAACCAGGGGTGGAAGGTCCTGGCTGCTCTGCACGGAGGCTCTCCTGTCGGGCTGGGACCGGGCGGCATTAGCGTGTCCGGGGCCTCTCGGCTCAGCCCTGGCTCAAAATAGCACAGGAATGCGATGCTTGGTAAGTGGTTTTGGATAATGACAATATCGATTTTTTTAAAAATTTCAGATTTTTGTCTAAAAGGCCGCAAAGTACTCTTTCAGTTTAACCGCAGCCAAGCAGGCTCCCAGGTCAAACAGCGGACCCAGTGAGTGAGCCCTCTGCCGCTCTCGGCTCAGACTGGCGAACATTTTACTAAATTTCATTTTACAATGGCTCTGGTCCATTAAAATTAAGGGATTGCATGTACTAAGATAATATCTTGAAAGGTTAATGCTGTGTTTTACTTCCCCACTTGCTTCCCCAGGACCTTGCTTCCACATTAATTCGAGAAATAAGACTGTTTTCTGGCCACAAAAGGTCAAGAAAAGCAGCTTGCCCATCGTTGTTTTTTTTTCAGTTACACAAGTCACACTCAGGAAGAACGGCCTGAGGGAGACACCCAGGCGCTGGGAACTAACAGTAGATTTGGAGAGAAATGGAGGGACCCTGGCTGGACCCAGGCCCTGCCCTCCCTGTAGCTCAGAAGGAGGGTGTCGGAGCAGGAGTGAGGAACGTACAGAAGGCAGCGGGTGGGCAGGAGACTGCTGGGACCACATGCTGCGAGGCTGGCAAGCCGTCAGGGAAGCCCACTGGGTGGGACATCTGTTCCTTCATTGGAGGAGCCTTGGATGACTCCGTGGGTCTCAGCACAGGCGATGCTCCTGCAGCAGAGGTGGGCACCGCAGTCTGCCAACGGGAAGGGGGTGTGGAGGGGAAGGTGCCCGGACACTGCGGGAGCCTGGCCAGCGGGAGTTACTCAGCTCCTGAGAGCAGGCCGCCTCGTCAGAGCGCTGCGAGACAGTGAGTGCGGGCATCGCTAAGCAGCAAAGACTCAGAGTCCCTCTGCGGTACCTCCTGCTGCCCAGGCAGTGCTCATATTCTTTCCAAAAATAATTGTGATTGAACGTATTGGGGTGACATTGGTTCATAGGATTATATAGGTTTCAAGTGTGTAATCACATCATCTGTATATTGCATTGTATGCCCGCCCCCCTCCCCCAAGTCAATTCTTCTTCCATCACCATATAGTTGACCCCCTCGACCCTTTACTACCCCAGCCCCTTCCCTCCGGTAACCACTACACTGCTTCTGTGTCTATGAGTTTTTGTTTGTTTGTTTGTTCATTTGTGGCTTTCAGTTTACTACTCCCCATGTGAGTGAGATCACTTGGTTCTTAGCTTTTCTGTCTGACTTATTTCGCTTAGCATAATAATCTCCAGGTCCATCCACGTTGTCACAAATGGCAGTATTTCACTTTTCTTTATGGCTGAGTAGTATTGCATAGTATATATGTACCACATCTTCTTTACCTAACGACCTATTGAGGGACATTTGGTTGTTTCCATGTCCTAACCATTGTGAATAATGCTGCAATGAACATATGTCTTTGTCAATAAATGTTCTCAAATTTTTGGGGTAGGTCCCGGAAAGGGTAAACTGGAGAACGCAAGGCTTGAGTCTTACAAAATCTAACAAATGTCAAAGGGAAACTCATTCGCAAGCCTAAGCTTTGCACAAACATGTCCCCTTGAGTATGTCACAGGAACTTGTGAGACCATAACCCTTTCGCAGCCCGCAGGGGAAGGGCACCTGGCGCCAGCGGAAGGACAAAGGGCAAACGGCCCTAAAACTACAACGGGCAGCACGGTCCAGGTACCCACCAGCAGAAGCTGCCGGCAGCTCTCCCACGCACATACGAAGCCTGCTCCTTTCGCATTCGCCACTGGCTGTTCCCTCGGAACCAGTCCACCTGCACCCAGGTGCCTGAATACGCATCATTTTTTTACACTGAGCCTTGAGTCAGTTCTGTGCGACCAGCCCAACTCCAACCCTTCCAGTCCCCAGAAGAGGAACCTCCGTCCTCTTCCCTTGGCGTCTCCTCCGTGGTCAGACTCACAGCAGGCGACCACCTAACTGCTAGCAGTTGTCAGTGGGCACCTCTGGGGGCAGATTTGAGTTTTTAATGGCGACAGGTGCCCCCCTACACTTTTCTTGACTCAAAGGGATGCCTCACGGGGGAGTAAAAGTTTCAGGAGGTTGGATGGGAAAACTTGATAGAATCATAAACAGAATGAACTCTTGATACATGGAACGATACACTGAGTGAGAGGAGTGAGACAAAAAAGAGTATGTACCGGATGGTACGATTTGTGCAAACTTTAGAGAATGCAACTGCACTGTAGTAATGGGTTGCAGGTCAGTAGTTGCTCAGGGACCCCGGTGACGCAAAGGGATGCGGGGGGAGGACTGGGAGCAAAGGGCTGAGGAACTTTCGGGGGTGATGGGTGTGTCCAGTCTCCTGACCTTGACTGTTTCACGGTTGTACACATCTGCCAAGCATCACAACGTACACTTAAAATATCTGTAGCTGCCCAGCCAGTGTGGCTCAGGTGTTTGGGCGTGTCCCATGCACCAGGAGGTAGCCAGTTCCATTCCCGGTCAGGACACATGCCCGAACCCCAGTGGGGGACATGCAAGAGGCCGCCAATCAGTGTTTCTCCCTCATCAGTGTTTCTATCTCTCCCTCTCCCTTCCTTTCTCTGAAATAAATAAAAATATACTGAAAAGTACAGTGTAGTTTATATGTAAATTACTATCTATTAAAGCTATGGGAAAAGAAACCAATGACAACATGCGTGGTGCGGAGCTGCCTTTCTTGGCCCAGAGCAGACAGCTGCCTGCCCACCACGCCCGCCGCCTGGACCAGGGTCCTTACCTTCCTTGAGTAGCCGCAGCTCTGGGCCCGGAGGTCCGGTGACCAGCGCAGGACACATGGCTGGCGCTGCCGCCTCTCCTGTGCCGCCGGACAAGCTGCAGCGCGGAGCCCCTCCTGGGTGTCTTAGTGAAGCTACAGCAGTGCTTTCCTGGCCGCGAGCCGTCCTCCATCCACAGCACTGGGCACGGCCCAGGACCAGCTGCCGCGTCCGATGGCCATGCCCTGGGAAACACACAGAACCCCCAGGCCGGCACTGGACTTGGCCTGCGGCTCAGCTGGGAGCCCTGTGCTGGCCATCACGCTCTGCTCCTGGGACTGCTCTCTGAGCCGGAGGAAGCATCGCCACTGGGCCTGGGAGAGAGAACAGCTTCCTAAGCCCCTCAGGTGTTCACAGGCTGCTCCCTGCCAGATCCGGAACTTTCCTTACAGCCTTGGGGTTTCGGTGCCACTCAGCTCAACAGGCTTGGGTTTCACAGCCCCTGAACGGGGACAGCCTGTGGCTCCTCACTGCTCCTCCCGGGATGAGGGCACAGGCTGGTCAGAGACACCAGACAGGGCTTGGCTGACCACTCCTGACCAGCCTCCCCCTCCCCCAGGCGCTGGCCTACCTGGACGTGCCATCACCTCGCCTCTCCGCAGCCCTCAGGGACGGGATGCGCTGTCTGTATCAGCACACCCTTGTTCCAGCGCCCCAGTGCCTCTGCACTTCCCGCGACGGCACATTCTCTCCTCCCGTGTAAGTTATGAAACTGGGCTCTTAGAATACCTCTCCAGTGACGCCTCGAGCAACAGCCACTGGTTCCACCTCTGTCATCTCTAAGGGGTTCATTACTGAGCTCCTGCTGTGTCGTCACACCGCCAGCCTCTTCCTAACAGGGAGCTGAAAAGGCACAGTCTGTGCCCAAGTCTTTCATGGAAACAGGACTTAAATAATTAAAATGGACCCCGCAGTCTTTTCCTTCCAGAGGAGATAAGTGAGTTGTTTTTCTACTCATCTTCACAAACCTCCAAGAAAACCAGAGACCATCAGCACCTGAGACCCCGTGGGTGGAAGCTCATGCGCCTTCTCCCGCCCGCCCGAGAGCCAGCCTGTCTCCTCCCCTGTCCCCTCACTCCCTTTGCCTGGGCAGCTCCCACCTCTCCCTGCCTGTGTCCTCCTGTCCTGCTCATGGCCTCACGGCCTGGGGTCACGCAGGGCACAGGCAGTGCACTACCTGGGGGTCTTCACACATTTGTAATGTATTAGAGGCCTGATGCACGAAGATTCGTGCAAGAATAGGCGTTCCTTCCCCTGGCTGCCAGCACTGACTTCCCTCCGGCACCCGGGACCTGGGCTTCGCTCTGGCCCTGCTGCCCTCCTGTAGCTCCCTCCACGCCCCGCATCCCCTCTCATAGTAGGTGTCCCACCCCACCCTGGCCCTGTGCGCTGCCCAGAGGCCCAGAGTGGCCACGGTGACTACACAAGCATCCCGGCCGGGCTGCTACCATCTTTGTCATGTCAATTTGCATATTCCCTCTTTATTGGCTGTGGGTGCCGCCATCTTTGTTGTGGAGTGACGGTCATTTTGCATATTCTGTCTTTATTAGATAGGATAGTGAAGTGTTCCCTCACTGTGGTTCATTTTTTCCCCCTGATCCTTTCTTCTGAGAGGAGAGCAAAGCAAACCACGGAGAAGCCAGTGGATCACTGACTGCCTGGCAGCTGTGGAGAGCCCAGCCGGCAGCCTCGGGGTGTGTCTGGACTCTGTCCCAGCAGCATGCTGCTTAAGGTTGTGGTGTCTCCTGAGAGGGGCAACAGGCAATCGCGAGGTTTTGGTGGCAGGTGGCTATCAAGGCATCTTTGCTGCAGCAGCAGGTGAGAGGGGAGGAGGAGGAGCAGGCAGGGGGGATGGGAGCCCATTTAGCTTGGATGGGCTTTCTCTGTTGCTGAGATTATAGTCTCAATTAGACTTAAGGTTGTGGCGACTGCTACAGAGCCCTGGGCTGGCTGATCCCATTGCTGACAGCTCTCTGTCACGTGGCTCAGCGGTACCGCCCCCTGCCTTGTGCAAGGCCGCTGAGTCCAAGGAGATATTAGAACGACACAGGGCCATCCTGGGAGCTGGGCTTTGGTGGATGGGCGGCTGATGGTGTTTTTGCACTCACTCATCCCTCCGTTTATGCCAGGCACTGTGACAGGCAGCCGGAATGGAGGGGACAGTGTTTCCCCAGCACACAACCCAGCACCCTGGCAGTCAGCATCGCCCACATTTTGTTAAAGATTTTCAGTATCACCCCCAGATATGAAGATAGAGATGACACGGCTCCTGCTGTCAAGAACCTACGGTTTCATGAAGGGACAGACCCTTAAGCAAATGCCAACGATAGATAAGGAGTGATTTTCTTCTCCTGATCACTTATTTCTCAGTTTGGTCTGTTCCGGGCATCTTTCCTTTCCACTGTAAAACCCAAATCCGTCCAGAAGCAGAGTGAGTGAAAGTGAACTGTGTTAATAAGGAGGCCCTGCTGCCACTCTCAGAGGCGCCCGCCCCCCGGCCCCAGGCAGTTTCTCGCTCTAATAACTCCTTGGACACGATTGTTCTTCCAGGGCTTGGAGCTCATGCAGTGTAACTAACAGACCAACACACAAGCCAGCGAAGAGCAACCACACTCCCCTTTCCCCGTCCCTTCCTAGGTGGGTTTTCCTGCCGCTCTACAGACAAGTGTCTGCAGCGGACCTGCTAGTGTCAGGCTCCACACATCACTGTTTAACAGATGTCACTTCGCAGAAAACTGCACATCATTTTGTGTGGCTACCTGGAGAGAGAGAGAGAGAGAGAGAGAAAGAGAGAGAGAGAGAGAGAGAGAGTTGGGAAATCAGGTCCCAGAGAAATTCACTAATCTGCCCAGATTTGCCGACTCTCTGCCTCTTCAATTAATCACTTAGCAATTCATCCATTGCCTACATTTGTGTTCTTATTGTAAAACTAGGGGCCCAGCATGTGAAATCTCATGAGACCCAGACCCGGTGCACTGTGGGACCCAGTTGTCAAGTCCTGCCAGTGCCGTGGGACCCATCAATGCGCCTCCTGGTGACCGGTCTTTGGCCGTTATGGCATTATGACCACTGGGAGCAATACCTCCCCCTTCCTGTGCCACAGGCGAGGGTGGTCCCTTTGTTACTCCCGTCTCTTAGGAGCTGTAATACTTGGTTAAATCAATTTTCACTGATTACATTATTGTGATCATGTAATATGATTCACATAATGTGTTGTGACTATAGTTCTACTAGAGGCCCGATGCATGAAATTCGTGCAAGAGTAGGCCTTCCTTCCCCCGGCTGCTGGCACCAGCTTCCCTCTGGCACCCGGAACCCGAGCTTCCCTCACATCCCTGGCTTTGTCAGGAAGGTCATTCGGAAGGACATCCAGTCTAATTAGCATATTAAGCTTTTATTATTATAGATTTTTGTGTAACTTTCTGACTCCCAAAATAAATATTGTTTATTTTTTATTTGCTTAGTTTTTATGTAATGATGTTTACTTTGAATTTATATTAGTTCACACAAACACTCCATCCATGCTTTTGTTCCGGCCCTCCAGTCCAGTTTAAGAACCCATTGTGGCCATCGAGTCAAAAAGTTTGCCCACCCCTGTTCTAGACACTTAGTCTTTTTAAGTTTCCCAGTGGTTCCTTAATGGAGTTTTACTCACAAACATATCAAAAAACCAATCAGTACCCTGGCCGGCTTGGCTCAGTGGATAGAGCGTTGGTCTGCGGACTGAAGGTCCTGTGTTCAATTCCGGACAAAGGCACAGATCTCAGTTGCAGGCTCTTGGCCCTAATCGGGCCGTGTGGGAGGCAACGAATCGATGCCTTTCTCTCACATTGGTGTTTCTCTCTGTCTCTCCCTCTCCCTTCCACTCTCTCTAAAAAGCAATGGAAAAAATATCCTTGGGTGAGGATTAAAATACAAACAAACCAATCGCCCCCCGCCCCCCAAAAACCCACCAAAAAACAAAAACACAAAAAACCAAGAAACCAAAACCACCTCTCACCTGCCTTTCTTTGCTTGTTTCCTTCTGGGCATTTCCCAGCCATTCTCTCCCCATCCAGGCCTGTGGCTGGGGCTGGCGTTTCGACTTCTCTGTGAAGTCTCCGCTTGTCCTCCTGGATCCCAGGTCTTCCTCGCTCTTTGCTTATCCTCTCATTTTGGTGGAGAACATTCTCTAGGGATTCCTGGGAAAACTTCAAACTAGAGGTTCACAGACCGTGGATGTCTAGAAAGGCACTTACTCGACCATTTCTCTCGGGGAGTCGCTGGCCAGGGGGTATGGAATGCACAATTGATTTTCCTTTTCACACAGAATTTGATGAGTTTCCCCTTTGCCCTGAGGTTCTGGTGTTGCCTCAGGGGCCCAGAGTTAATCTTCTACCGGATCCCAGTCCATGACCGACTTTTCTCTCTGGAGACTCTTGGGTCTTCTCTGTGCTGTGAGATTTCCCCGTTACCATTGGTTGTTGCTGTTCGCTGTGCTGGGTGCTCCAGTCTCCATCCCAAGTTCTGTCTGTGAAATAGCCTCGATCTCCGCCTCCTACCGTTTCCTCTCACCTGCCTTCTTTCTCCCCTTGGCAGCTTCAGTAATTAGATATTTACTTTTAAGACCTTTTGTTGTATATTTTTTTGTTATAATATATATATATGTTTTATTTTCCAAGAGCTTCTACTCACTGTGTTCCTTTTTTAAAAACTAGAAACCTGTGGTCTCTTGATTCAATATTTGCTAGCTCCCTAAGGATAACAGGGGTCCTCAAACTGCGGCCTGCGGGCCACATGCAAATGCAAATATTGTATTTGTTCCCGTTTTGTTTTTTTTACTTCAAAATAAGGTATGTGCAGTGTGCATAGGAATTTGTTCATAGTTTTTTTTAAACTATAGTCCGGCCCTCCAACGGTCCGAGGGACAGTGAACTGACCCCCTCTTTAAAAAGTTTGAGGACCCCTGCTATAGAAAGATACAGTCTACACACATATATGCTTATTCGAATGTGTATGACTTACATGGTCTCTGTAGGTGACATATACCTGGTGAACAGAGTACATGTCATGTTATTTCTCTTAACAAATGTTTAGAGATATTGCTAGCTTACACAGGGAGGCTCTGCTGCCCGTCAAAGACGCTTGGTTGTTCAGCTGCCTCGTGGCTCCCCAGGCCATCATAAACGTGGGGCCGCCGGACCCCGCCGCCTCTCCCTGAGGAGGAGGTGTGAGCCACGGGCAGGGCAGGGGCCCAGGGTAGGGCCTGAGGGTGCAGGTAGGCGAGGCCCTCGATGCATCGGCATAGACAAGCACTGCTAGGGACGGGTGTCAGTGGAGCTTGGTAGACAAGGCTCCCTCCAGCTCCCGTAATTTACCCAGAGGCTCACATCGAAGGGAAGGGTGTGGTGAGGGCCATTTAAAAGTGTCTGCTGGGTCATATTTGACAGATACTAGAATATTCCTTGTGCCACTGTTGATTTTTTCTTTTAAGTTTTTCCTCTGTCCCCTAAGATGTCTGGATGCTCCATGTACTCACAGACCCACTCTGTGCTGTTCCCAATCCAGCAGCATTCAAAATGGCAGACTCATTCTAAAAATTTCTACAGCGTTTAGTTAAATGACTCATTCTACACCAATAAAATAAAAGTCTGCCCTTCCAGTGGTTCCGTGGTTGAGCATTGACCTAAGAACCAGGAGGTCAAGTTTCGATTCTTGGTCAGGGCACCTGCCTGGGTTTCAGGCTCGATCCCCAGTAGGGGGCGTGCAGGAGGCAGCCGATCGATGTTTCTCTCTCATCATTGATGTTTCTCTCTCTCTTCCTCTCTCCTTCTCTCTCTGAAATCAATAAAAACATTTAAAAATAAATAAATGAAAGTATCCTTTAACGACCATCATTCAATGCCCCTGCTGATACTCAGGTTTCTCAGCTCCCTTTTCGGACATGGAAATCCTGGCTCTCAGGTAACTCCTGGCCCGAGCAAAGGCAGCGCCTCGTGCTTCATTCCTTTCTGACCCAAACGTCTGAGGTGACAGTTATTTATTTATTTAGTATTTATTTAGTTATTTTGGTTAATCCTCACCAGAGGACACTTTTCCATTGATTTTTAGGGAGAGCAGAAGAGAAGGGGAAGAAAAGACAGAGAGAACATCGATGTGAGAGAAACACATCAATTGGCTGCCTCCTGCACAAGCCCTGATCAAGGCCCGGGCCGGGGAGGAGCCCGCAACCAAGGTACGTGCCCTTGACCGGAATCAAACCCAGGACCCTTTGGTCTGCAGGCCAACGCTCTATCCACTGAGCCAAGCCGGCTAGGTCTTGAGATGACATTTTTAGGTGAAATTGCTACTTCTAATGGATAATTTCCTTGGCCCACTGTGCACATCCTAAAGACTTTTTCTTCTTTTCAGTCAAATTTTAAACTTTTGAGTTCCTAACTTTCTCGACAAAGCCAGTGCTCCTGACTGGCAATGCCAGCGCGGGCTCGTGGCCTCACGGCGAAGTTGGCATCAGCGAGGAGGGTTTGGGCAGCGGGAGCTTCAGTGTCGCATGTGTGTGTATGTGCATGTGCCAGGCACGGGGCACGGTGGGGGGCCCCACTCCTGCCTTCGTCCCCTGTGTGGTACCCCGCGGTGGGAGCTTGCTTCTCGTGGATGGCCCTGCCCTGCTCCTGTCTCCTTCAGGGAGGCCCCGAGGAACCCGCGTGTGGGGCAGCCTTGCCCGGAGCCATGTGCCCAGGCTGCTTCCCTCCGGCCTGGAGAGGACCAGAGGGGGTGTGGAGGCCAGGCCCGAGGTGGCAGCACAGAACGGGAACTGAATACCCCACAGCCAGTGCAGAAAACCTTCCTGGGCCACTTTTCTGGGAATAGAGCACTATTGGGAAGGCCGTGCTCCCACTGCTTTTAGTGGCATTTTCAGAATAGGCAGAAAGTGACTGAGTGGCAGAGGCTGCCAGCTGCCAATCCTCGATTCCTGGGAGAACCGGCAGGGAGTCGGGGGGCGCTCCTCAGTGGGGGAGGCTGTCCCGAACACGCCCTGTTCCCGCCTCCCTGCTCTGTTCCTTCAGCTGCAAGACTGTGTGAGACCGGTATCTTCATGGCTGGCTCCTCTTCCCAGACCGCAGGTGAAGTTTGAGTTTCTCAGTGAGTTCCAGACCCCTCGACTCAGAGTTGCTCTATGTGTGATGCCATCGTTTGTTTTGTTTATTTTACAGGTCATTTCATCTGTCCCTCCCCTGAATGGAAGCTTCTGGAGAGCTGACATTCCTCCATTTGGGTTGCTGAATCCCGAGGGGCCGCACACACATGGTCTTGGCACAGAGCGGATCCTCACAAATATCTGCTGAGTGCACATTTGAGTGGGTAGACCATGTTTTACCACGAAGAAAGCAAAGCACAGAACGTGGCTCATGGACTGATTCCTGGTAACTTACTACCCCCACAGACTGATGTCATGGAGCGCGTGCCCAGAGAACCGAAGGGCAAGGAGCCGCTTTCGCTGGCAGCTGATGGTGGAGCCTCAGACACGGAGAACACGTTTTCAGAGCCATTTATGAATGGCCGCCCCGGCCGAGGACAGGCAATGAGCAGAGGATGCCACGGTTCCGTGTCCCAGCCGCCGGATGCACATCCAGCCCCATCGCGTCTGGGCCTCCCCCGAGAGGCCTGTGGCCCCAGGACGCCTGCCGTGGCCGCAGCTCTCTCAGCAGACCCCGCAGTCAGATTCTTATGCTTCTATGCTCCCGTCAATCAAACCCCCTACCAGATGGCTCATTCCCAAGCGTAGTGCTGTCTGCACTGGAGCTCAACACTGGCCCAGCACGCAGTGCTTCCCACACCTCACCTGCAACCGGAATCATAGGGTTCATGAGGACGCACTGTAATGCCGCTCGCAGGCACCAACAAGGGGCGGCTCAGGAACTACCAGCAGAAGCTGCAAAGGAGTCAAGTCCCTACTGGGGGATGGGCCAGGACACTGACAGCAGCCACCTCCAGGGAGACAGCAATCCACTTGCCAGCACTCCCCATCCCCTTCCATTGTCTGAAGGACACACTGGTGTTGGGTTCCTGGCTGGGCTCCTGTGGCCCCCTTGAGCCTCGGGAATTCCCAGGGAAGTTTGTAAATTCTGTCTCTTCTGGGAGCAGCCAGCCAACCCTTGCGACAGGCCAGTGGTGCTGGTAGGAAGCGCTTGCTGCTGCTGTTGGTTTGATTGAAGAACTGGGTGGACAGGAAAGTGTTGACAGGGGCAGAAATCGAATGCTGGGGAACCAGCTAGAACTGCAGGAATGTTAATCCTGCTCTGTTAACCGTGATTGTTTTTGTTCTGATTAAGGAAGGCACAGTCTGAGCTGGCCGGCAGCGGCACTCAGGACCTGGGAGCTCACCTGGAGATGCGGCCCGCCCTCCCCCTTTGGAGCTGCCTGTTAGCATGGAGAGATGAACGGCTTTGCTGCAGGAACCAGAGCCAGAAACCAGAATGCCAGCCCTTTGAAGACCCCAGCCCTTTGCATCCCTGTGAACTGCCCATGTGCCCTTTGGCCGACCTCCCCATGTGACCCACCCACTACCCAGCTGGCTGGTGGGGGGCGGGGCAGAGCAGGTTTCTGTGGACTGAAACAGTGCACCGTGCCCGTCGGCAGTGAGGACCCCCGGGGTTTACTTTCCTGGGTGGATGTCCCCACCGGTTACCACTAGATGATGCATGGGTTATGCAAATAGCAGAAATCCCTTCCTGGGAGGAATCAGCCCCGAACAAAAGACAAATTCAGCGGAGAGAGATAAATATGGAATTCCTACCTGTGGGAGCTGGTTTCTAGCTCCTTCCTCTTTCCTTTCAGAATAAACATTAGTAGCTACTTAATCCAAGTTCAGGAAGAGCTGAGTAGTAGCCAAAGGCTGTCAGAATTTGCTCCCTCAGAAAACAGGGCTTGGCACCTGGAAAAAGACATTGAGGAACAAATTCCGCCCAACCAAACACCTGCTTCCTGTGATTGTAACATGGGTGTTCTGAAACCAACTGAGTCCATGAATAGCTCTTTTAACCTCGTTTTCCTCTATCAGTCTGCACGGCCACCAATACCAGCCACCAGTTCCTAGCCACCAGCTGAGCAACAAGTACCTATTTTAAAGTGTGTTTGTATTGATTCCAGAAAGAGGAGGTGAGAGGGACAGAGAAGTAGAAACATGGTGTGAGAAACATCCACTGGCTGCCTCCTGCTCGCCTCCTACTGGGGAACGAGCCCACAGCTGGGCATGTGCCCTGACCGAGAATTGAACCAGCGACCTCCTGGTGCATGGGACGATGCTCGACCA